TTAAGGCGATGAACAAAACGGCCAAATTCTTCGTCTTCCTGTTCCGCAAAGACAAGTATTGCTTCCGTCCGGCGGTCGGAGTCGACGGCTGTAAGACTTGGAGAGACAATCGGGAACTGTTTGGCTGCGACGGTCACCACAGGTCAGGCGATGGCATCGATGCCGAGGGCTATGGTGTCGGCAAAGAAGGCGATGGCAGTGATGGCAGCGGTAGTCCCAGCGCTGGTGTCACCCCTGGAATCAACTATCTTTGGCTGTTATTTGTGCCGATCTTTGCTTTTATGCCAATGTTTTAACTTTTTTGCCGTATTTTCTATAGTTTTATCACTTTTTGATTTTTATGCTGTATTTTATGTGATATTTATAACTAAATTTTCAATGTTTTATTTAATGCTATTTACAAACAAAAAAGTTTATATTTATTTTTAGTAAACATATTTAATAAACAAATTTTTATAAGTATTTAAACATTTATTATGAATTGATCCTGGTCATTTTTGAACTACTATTTAAACTTAATATGACATTATAATTATAATTACAATATTGTTATAAATAATGCAATTGTGTTATCAATTAGTTATAAGTTATAACAAGTATTTTGTTATCTAATCATTAGTTTTGTAACTTTTATATCCCTTTCATCACTGAATTTAAGTTATTTATTGATCGCATATTATATGCAATCGTTTGTAAGTAAAACTCTTAATTCAATACTATTTATAAGTTTTTAATTAGAAATTGAATTTTAATTACAAATTAACTTCAATTCAAATAATGTCTAAACTTTTGCTGCGAAAAAGTTTCACAAAAAGACCGTTACTTATGGACAACACTATTAACATTGAAAACAAATAACGCGATATAAATAATGTTATAAATACTCGTTATTTGTAATGTATTTCACTATAAGGGGGACAATAAAGGGGTCAGAAATATATGCCATTAATTGTGACGTTATTTGTGAGGAGTTTTGAAGCGAATGAATGAATGAGTGGTTTGTTGTGAAAAAGTGGGCAATAATTTGGAGTAAGAGTTGACTCTCGGAATCGAATCAACGCTCGAATCGCGTAATAATGGACGCAATGAGTGAACCAATGAGTGAATCAATGCCTTCGCCGTCGAGTGAATGGAGCGACGAATCGGTGGAAAAGCAGTTCTCGACTGTATTTGAGACTCACATCTTCGCGTTGGATGAGTCGATCTCATCGTGTGTTTCGTCACAACAAGTGTTGAGTCAAAGATTGGATCGAATGTTGTGTTCATTGAATGCTTTGAAAGCCATTCCAGACGTGAGTCAAGTGATCGACGAAAAGACACGAAGAGTGCAAACATTGAGACGAAGACTGACTTTAATTCAAAGTATTGTTCAAAACGCGAACCAAAGGAACAGAAAACTACTCAACGCTTCCAAAGCGAGTCACGAATGACTCACGACTTGACCTTTGGATCAGTTTTGGGTGACTATTGTCTGGCGTTGAGTCCAATGGAGGCGTCGGTCGAGTCGTCGGTTGTGTTGAAACGCAAACTCGACTCACAGTTGAGTTCACGCGAAGACAGAAGTCATGAAACCATTGATGAGTCGATCAAAGAGTGCGTCGAAGACATGATGTCAGCCATCGTTGGGACCAAATTGGGTGACAATTCACTGATGGATGACATGAGCGATGAGTTTTGGGACGATTTGGACATCACTTCAGGCGATACTGACGTTAAGAGCGCTTCTGTCGAAGAGTTGACCACAACTTCAGCCGAAAGTGAATTGTCTTTCAAACAGAGGTTTGAGTTATTGTTGACTCAAATGAGTGCTAAACGAGAGGAACAGACAATCGATGTCTCAGATATGGCCGCAAAACTGATGTCACACTTGGATTCAATCAAGTATTCAATCAATTCTTGTCTTTGTTTTCACTCTTAATGTTGTTTTTGATCCCAAAAGTGATGCCATTATTGGACTCAACGAACGCTTCACTCAATCATTTGATCCAAAGATTTAATACTAAAAGTGTTTTAATTGTTATTTAATGTGTTTTTTGTATGATTTATAAATAGTTTTAGTATTTCTATAAAAAGTCATAATTTGTGTCAAAACTTGTATTCATTAACGAAATAAAATGTTTTAATTAATTTTTGTTATAATTTGTTCACAATTTAAGTGTTTATTAATCACAGCATTAGATGTGATATAAAAGAGTGAAAACTGTTTAGACATCTATTGAAGTGATGTCTTCGCAGATGGAAATCAAGAGAAGATCCTTAAGAATTGCATTCAATTTATACTTTCAAACGATTCCTGTTTTGCAATGAAAATGAAAAACAGAAACAAATAAAACAAAAGTTAAATAATTGTTATTTTGTTTGATTTGTTATATATTTGTGTTAATTCTCGCAATACTTAACAATAGTATTGCAATTGAATTGAATTACTGAACGTATAATACAATTAAATTTTTGAATATTTATTTTTATTCATTAAATGAGAACTAATTAATTATATTTATCATAAAATCCGTTACAAAATTCTCAATCAATAGATTTCTTAAGAGTTAATCAAAATTTTGCACAAAATACAAATCAAAGACAAAGAATTGGATTAGAGATTATGGATCAGAAAACACATGTCATGAATGATGACATTTTGTGTCTCATATTCAAGGATTTGGGTCTCAAAGATGTGTTTGCATTACAACGAGTGTCACAACAGTTCAGCCGTTGTTCACAAGGAGTGCTTCGGACGAAGAAAAGAGTGAGCATTGGATTCAATAAATTGAAGGCGAGTTCACTGTCAAGAATATTGAACAGGAGTTTTGATGTGAATGATTGGCATCGCATTGATATCACACAAGCGATCAACACATCAATGAAAGGCATTGATTTGACATCTGGTGATAGACTCGAGTCTATTGTCCGTCAATTTCGTGGCGTAAAGTATTTATATCTGTTGTCAACTGTAATCAGTTTCAAGACATTACAGCTGATCGTCAATCAATGGCCACAACTCAAGAATCTCTGCATTCATGACACAGAAGTCGTTGACTCCAATGACCACACAATCACCGAATGGGAACAACTCGTCTCAAAAATTAAACACATATTCATCGGAAGTAATGATCCAAAATGTGCGTCATTTTTGACAACAATTATGCCAAAGACGTCTTCATTGGATGGCCTCACTGTTAGGGCTTTGAATTTACCGGTTCCAGACATCACACTATCATTACTCACAGACTGTTTGCCGACAAACATGCGATGCCTATGTATTGGCGTCACATCAATGGACAGTCAGGCCATCGATGTTATCACAAACAAATGCCGGCAAATAAGAAGACTAACCATTTTTGGGCTCTTAGATGCTGTAGAGATTGATCTCTGGAACCAGTGGTTTGCAATGATATGCGATCGACTCAAGTGTTTGACAGAATTGAACACTTGTTTGGGAGACATTTCCGCCAAGAATTTTGCTAAAAGTATAGTAAAACTCGAAAATCTAAAAGTCCTCGAAATCGCCAACTATTCAAAAGAATGGATCGAAAGTATGTGTTTCGATACTCAAGAGATGGCCAGACATATGGGACCAATCGTGTCGTTGAAAACACTAACTCTGCGGGCACTCAAGTGTTCACCGAATCGTTGGTTGAATTTCGTCCAAATGTTTCCAAATGTCCGAAAAATTAGTGTTTATTTCATGTATTATCGCACGGATTGTGAGGACGGAAAGGACTGTATTCGATGTTTCCATCAGTGTATGAAAAGGGTGTCAAAACTGCCGCAATTGAAACACATTACTATCAGTTCTGTGATTACAAGATATGGCAAGACTGGTCCCATCACAAGACATATGCTGGAAGTGTTCAATCGTGTCGATCGGCTAACTATTGTCTCGATGTACACAAATCTAATCGAAGTGTTGATCCATTTCTTGACCAAAACATTGGCTAATAGGCGACGAGTATTTCGATTGATTTTATTGCCTAAAGTCAAGACACAACTGATCCAAAGGATGGAAGAAATGAATGTCTCGATGCCTGAGAGTGTGATTGTGGGCCACGAGTTCAGTATGAAAGCGATGCTCAACTGACATATTATCTGTGTTTCAAAGACCTCTTCAATCATTTGCAGTCATATTTAGAGAAACATATATTACTTTAAACACAAGTTATTTAAAAGATTAAGAAATTTTCAATAAAATCTCAATTAAAACAATATATAATTAGATATTTATTTTATTGTATTTTTAATACTATTAAAAAACATATTTAACTAAACAGTTATTGACAGTACATTCAATAATAAATAAAAGTGGACACAATTTTTGAGTTTCATATTAAATATCTCTCTGAGAAGTGGTGTCGAAATCTGTGGATCCCTTTTGGAGGCCATATTCCTCTGGATTTCTCCCAAACAATAAATGTCATCCAAAACAGCGATTAATTGTCTGAATTTGTTTCGCAGCCAAACGCTGTCCGTCCCGTATCTCACCATTAGATACCTTTGCAATAAATACATGTAAATTCTCTGTTGAAGTCTTTGCATGAATGTAAATACGTTACAATTAGTAAATTCATTGTATTTTTAATTTAAAAATATGTTTGTTTTGCACTCACTTTACATTTTCCATGTACTCTAGATTTGAACGGTTAGGGTTAAACGGTACGTGAATTCAATTAAGTATTCAATCAATTCTTGTCAATGATTTCATTTTAATGTTGTTTTTGATCCCAAAAGTGATGCCATTATTGGACTCAACGAACGCTTCACTCAAACATTTGATCCAAAGATTTAATACTAAAAGTGTTTTAATTGTTATTTAATGTGTTTTTTGTATAATTTATAGTTTTATTAATATTTCTATAAAAAGTTATTATTAAATAATTTTGTGTCAAAACTTGTATTCATTAATGAAATAAAAAGTTTTAATAAATTTTCGTTTTAATTATAATTTGTTCACAATTTGAGTGTTTATTAATCACAGCATTAGATGTGATATAAAAGAGTGAAAACTGTTTAGACATCCATTAAAGTGATGTCTTCGCAGATGGAAATGAAGAATTTCTAGAATTGTCTTCCGGGACCACCTCTGCCACCACCACTACCTCTTCCTCCGGAGGGGTTCTTTGGTTGTGAAGATTGAGATCGAGTCCTGAGCCCTAAGGGCGGCGGCGGAGGGGGTCTCACACGAGGGGAAGCCTCTGTGAAGCCCGGGGGCGGAGGCGGTGGCAGAAACAGCGGTGACTTCGGACGCATCACGAGTTGAGAGCCAATCGTTCGGCGAGAGGCGAAAACACGCATACATTCACTACAACCCCAGCCAACGATGAGACCAACGAGAAAACTGATGATATTTCCGGTAGTGATCGGAAAATTAATGCAAATGTTTCGGATTTCGGTTAACATTCGGTCGTTATATTTGAACAGAATTTCGATCGAAGCCTTTGAAAGACTCGACGAATTGGGTCTCAATAGTGAACAGACTTCTTGAGTGCCATTCATTGACAGCACTTCAGTACTCATCAAACAGACAATCATTACTGATATAAAAGAAGACATTTTTGTGAAATTTAATCAAAAGACTCGGAAACTAAATATCGTTGTGTTGTTAATGAAGTCTACAATTAGTTTAAATATATTTGTGTTAATTCTCGCCATATTTAACAATAGTATTGCAAACAAATTTTCAAACATATTTATCATTAAATTAGACATTAATTAATATATTTGTCATAAAACCGATTAAAATATCAATTCATTTCTTTGAACATCAAATTTCGAAACAAAGAAATGAGTTCCAGAAGAAGTAATGTCACGAATGATGACATTCTCGGACTTATATTAAAGGATTTGAATCTCAAAGACTTATTTGCTTTGAAACGAGTGTCAAAACAGTTCAGCCGTTGTTCACAACAAGTACTCCAGAGGAAGAAGAAAGTGAGCGTTGGATTCAATGATCTCAAGACAAACTCAAAGTTAAGATATTTTAATCACAACTTTGAAGCCAAAGACTGGAATCGCATAGACATCACCAGCGGTCACTTTGAAAGGCATTGATATGTGTTTGAATGACAGAAAACACCAACAAATTGAGTCAATTGTCCGCCAGTTTCAAGACGTGAAACACTTATATCTGTCGTCAACTGTAATCAGTTTGGAGACAATGCAGCTGTTCGTCAAACAGTGGCCACAACTCAAGAAACTACACATCTATAACGTCGATATCGACGGCCCACTGGACCCGACTATGAGAACCGAATGGTCGCGAACCCTCTCCGAAGTCACGCACATAAATATCGGTCATATCGACCAAAAGTATGTCAAATTCATGATCGATATCATATACTATAAACCGTTTAAGAACCTATACGTGTGGGGTTTGTGGCCCAACGCCTCCCATCAGACAATCAAGTTATCACTACTGACGGGTCGTTTGGCATATTATTTGACGCGCTTTGAAATCGGTGTCACTTCAGCCGACAGTCAGGCTGTAGACCTCATCACAGGGTATTGCCGCCAATTACGGCAACTATCTATCTATGAGTCTTCCGTACAGTCAAATGTTGTAAAGATTGAGCTCTGGAATCAATGGTTTGTAATGATTTGCGATCGACTTAATCATTTGAGAAGTTTGAAAGTTATTTTGGCCAACATTTCCGCCAAAGAATTTGCCGAAAGTATCGCAAAACTTAAATACTTGCGTAAACTGACGGTCAGTGCCAGCGGTCCTCTGTATTTAGAAGAGATGCCGAGAATGTGTTTCGACACTCAATTGATGGCCAAATATATGCCGCCAATGGTGTCGTTGGAATCGCTGTCACTAAACGGATTGGACTGTTCACCGAATCGGTGGTTAAATTTGGCCCAAATGTTTCCGAATGTCCGCCAATTGAGTGTCGATCACATGTATTATCTGAAAGATTTTTCAGATATTCCTTTCTATGTGTGTATGGATTTGGTGTCAAAACTGCCAAAATTGAAACATATTATTATCGGTAATATCACTATTGAAAGCATTAAACTGTTGGCACTGAAGAGGTTTGCGGCCACTGATCGTCTTAGCCTTAAAATGGGATTATCATGTAATTTGATTCGAGAAGTCATTTTGTTTCTGACCCAAACACTGGCCAATAGGCGGCGAGTATTTCGATTGGATTTGTTGCCAATCGTGAAGAGAGAACTGATTCAAAGGATGCAATTAAAGAATACCCGAATGCCTGAGTGTGTGATTGTGGGCCATGTCTTCAGTGTTCAAGAAGAGGGTATAATAACCATTGATTGAGCGAATGTAGTGTTGTTTCAAACCTATGTCTCATTTATATTCATTAATTTTAGCAATAAATATGATTTCAGAATAGTTTTTAACAAATAAAAGTATTTTAAATTAATTAATGTTTTGTTTATTTAAAATTACATTTTTCAAAATGAAGAAAAATATGATTAAAACAGAATTAATAAAACAGTTATTTACTATCATAACTAAAAGTGGGCACAATTTTTGGGTTTCATATTAAATATCTCTCTGAGAAGTGGTGTTGAAATCTGTGGATCCCTTTTGGAGGCGATATTCCTCTGGATTTCTCCCAAACAATAAATGTCATCCAAAACAGCGATTAATTGTCTGAATTTATTTTGCAGCCAAACGCTGTCCGTCCCGTATCTCACCATTAGATACCTTTGCAATAAATACATGTAAATTCTCTGCTGAAGTCTTTTCATTAATGTAAATATATAACAATTAGTAAATTAATTGTATTTTTAATTTAAAAATATGTTTGTTTTGCACTCACTTTACATTTTCCATGTGCTCTAGATTTGGACGGTTAGGATTAAACAGTACTATAGCTGTCAACTATTTAATAAAGAAATCTAGTTAGTAATACAAAACTTATAAATTTACCTTATATTAGTGTATCAAGGTAAAAATGTTTGCTAATTAAAGTACCAAGTCTACAATAGTGGTGTCTTCGTGCCAATGACGGCCCATATGTTGTAAATACTTTTTATGGGCGCCGTATATATCACTCGCTCCGGACTTCAATAAGTCTAACTCCAGTATAACAGACGTGTTGTCATCCTTTCAAATAGTATGCAATTAATAAAAATTAAAAATATTTAACTATAATTATAATTACAAAATATACAAAACACTCACAACAAACAGATTCCAAGACTGATTGTGGTAATTAAAGGCCAATACTGAGCGCATATAAATCAATTCAATACAACCGCTTTTAATGAGACAAATCTGGTCGCCGTCGCAGAGGGAGCCGAAACCGTGCAGAGATTTTGTAAACTTAATAACATTACGAATATCTCTCTCTAATACCGATCGCATCACTGCCTGCGCTTCGCCGACGCTCTCGATTCTGGCCGTCGGCTCTCTGGCCACCGCTTTCATCACATCCGCAGCCATTAGTAGTTCATTGAATCGCTTGTACTCCATGTCATTAAAGTTATACCGAAGAGTAATGTCCGACAAAATAGGTGTAAATGGCATACCATATGTCGGCCCGTATTCCGCCTGATCTTTGATATAGTTTTCAATCTGAAGTCTTTTGGTTGCGTCCAAATCGGCGGTCGAGTCCGGGATATGGATAACAGAGACTTCATTACTGATTTCTTTGGTGTGATTTTGACACAATTTTCTCTCTTCTCTCGTTTTCTAATACAAGACAACAAATTATATGAAAGTTTCCACAATAATACAGAATATTCTGTTTGAATACTTTAATCATTCCAACGGAAATGCATTTATTAAGTCTACATTTTTGGCAAAACTTTCTGCTCGAAGCACTCATATGACAGTTGCTATCAAAATAGCATTTAAAACACTGTATTTAAAAGCAAATAAATGATTCAATTTATAAATTAAAAATATTTACATTGAATTAATGTTTATATTTTGAGATATACTTTCTTGAGATCACCATATCTTCTAAAAAATACTTTACATGATTCACAAGTAATGGCACCGAAATTACGGCCTAAACATTACAATGTAATCAATATTTGTATTAATTGTCATTTATATTATAGTTAATAATTTAATATTGTATATAAAACATACCAACAGCTTTATCCCCACAGATTACACAAACTTCATTAATCATTTTTCTGGACATATTTTATATATAACAAAAATATAAAATGTACTAGATATACGTATATTATAATTTATATTAAATTAATTATGTAAAATTTATTTATATTATTTAATAAACAATTGCATGTTTTGTATAAAATTCACGTATAATTTTAAATATATCTAAATTTTGCAGTCATTTTATACAAACAGTATATAACATATAAATGTGTGATTAAAAAACCTAGGAGGTATTGCGTTATGAAAGTACTACTGTATATTTGTAATTGTACCATTTGATAAAACTTATAAATTATTTTTACGAGAACTTTATCAATAAATCGCAAAACCATAGCCACAAACACGAAGCAATTTGATAACAATATTAATACTAGGCTTTATTCTACTTTTAAAATGTAAAGTTTATATTAACTACAGTAGTAAATTTAATACTGTAGTATTAACACCTCATTATTAGATATTATGATTAAATTCTAAGAATCTGATTCAATTATCAATTTAATCAATTTCAATCCATAAAAACAAGTAGCTTAAATACCAACTTGAAATATTATTATTTGACTACAACTATAAGACATACAGTATACTGTAGTAATATCATATTGTAAATTCAGGAAAGTATAAGTAATTAAATAAATTAAAGTTAGAGTATGTTGTAAACATTATTTTAATTAAAATTATATTTATTTTATCATAATCAAAAAGAAAATAAATGAGTTTTTAAGTACATTATTACAAGGCACAAGAATTTAACAAAATAACCATAATTATTTACAAAACTAATTTATTTAAAATTTAAGCCATACATGTTGATTATCGCATAAATTGCACATTTAAATGAGTATAATTAGAATTTACAAATTTTATCCAAAATATATTGAACTAAAGATTATTGAGACAAATTTTCATTGAGGTATAAATCAGTTAATGAAGAAAATAATAATCCAAAAACTCAAAAACATTTAAATGACAACTAAATAAAGCTATTGAATAAACAAAATTCAAGAATATCTGCATATCTTAAACAGAAAACATAACAAATATTGGATAATAAACTGAAACCATAAATAATTCCACCACAAAATAAAACATAATTATTATAATGTATGATATTAAAAGTTTATAAAAAACCAAATAACTCTCTAACTAAACATAGAAACACACAATTAACTAATGAAACACAAAAACCAATGTATAATAAAATCATTATTGGGTTTCAATCACTTGGACTGGACTACCATTGAAGGCGTGATTAAAGCTATCGGCGGACACATTATTATAATCGCAAATCTCACGCATAAGTGGACTGAGTTTATCCTTCTCTAACTCCATACACGCTATAACATGTGATTCCCGGACTATATTCAAGTCAATCAAAGCGCTCATTAATCGCATGAATTTGGTTTTTGACTCGTAATCTGTCGGATATCTCATCAGTAAATAGCGTTGAAGTAAATACATGTAAATGTGTTGTTGCAGTCTATGTGAGAATAATTTTTTAAAATAATTAAGATTAAATATTTGCATATAATTGATGTTAAGTTATGGTCACTTACTTAACCATTTCTCTAAACAATAGGTTGGGACGATCCGGATTGAAGAGTATGATTGCAGTTAACTAATACACAAGACATTAAAATTAATTATATGCAAGCAATTTTATAAAAGTGAATATAAAATTAAATTTTAATACAATATCGAGTATAATAGAGTCGGACTCCCACTCGGGCTTCAGTTTCTCAAAGAATGCTTTGTATGTATTGTATAAAAACTGTTTGTTTTGTCTCAAGAGTTCCATCTTTAATACAGTTGACTGACAATTGTCCTGAAAATCACACAAATATAATCAATTAAAAAACTAAACACATTATAATAAAACACAAACTAATTATTTACAGTAATCAAAGTCCAGTATTCCTTATCAAAATCGTAATGCAGCGTAAGTCTAAGGCAATGCATTTCAATACAGCCATATTTGACCAGGGCTATCTGGTCATTTTCGCACAACCCCTGAAACGCTTCCAGACTTTTGGACATTTTGATGATCTTGAGGACCTCCTGTTCGCACTTATATCGCCATACATTGCATCCGTCATCCATAGTCATGGCCTCGGATGTGATGGGAACCAGCGGTGACTTAAGCATATGCATGGCGTTCAACAGTTCCGCCAATCGATTCATCTCCAGGTCATTGAATTTGTCGATCAAATCACTGATAGGACGGGCGATGGGAATGACAGACATCTCGAGTTCGGCTGTTTTCTCGTACACCGCTTCGGGTATAGTATTGTATGGCATTATTGCCTGCTTTTGGTCCCTCTCTTTGCGTTGAATTTTCTCGATTTGATTCGTGAAGTTTGTCGGCGAAGAGGTATCGGTCGCCGGCGACGAGTGGTTCGCCGACGAATCACTGGATCTGTTGTCGCCGTCATCTCTGGTGCTATTCTTCCGCTTCCGTCGATTCTCTTCGATCTTATTTCGCCGAATATTCTTTTGCTCGTCGTTTAGAATCCATTCCTAAACACAACAATTGTTTGCAAATTAGTTAACAACAGTCTCGACATTAAGTGATGCCAACCTTTTTCATCCCTAAATCGAAACACTTCTTCATTCGACATTTTTTGCAAAATTTTCTCGAAACCAAATCTATTCGACAATTGCCCTCAAAATGACATTTAAATGTCTTGAGAGAGAGAGAGAGAGAGAGAGAGAGAGA